ATTTATTTCCACCATTTTATCTTCTAACTCACTTATCCTATCTTCTGTCTCTGTTATTCTACTCATGGTTCCCTCCAGAGTGTTTTTGATCTCATTTATTTCATTATTAATTTTTAATTGATTTTTTAAAATTTCTTCTAGGTCCTTGTTAAACATTTCTTGCATCTTCTCAATCTTTGTCTCCAGGCTATTTATTTGTAACTCCATTTTGTTTTCAAGATTTTGGATCATTTTTATTATCATTATTCTAAATTCTTTTTCAGGTAGATTCCCTATTTCCTCCTCTTTTGTTTGACTTGGTGGGCTTTTTTCATGTTCCTTTACCTGTTGGGTATTTCTCTGTCTTTTCATCTTGTTTAGATTGCTGTGTCTGGAGTGGGCTTTCTGTATTCTTGTGGTCTGTGGTTCCTTTTTATTGTGGAGGTTTCACCCAGTGGGTGGGGTTGGACGATTGGTTTGTCAAGGTTTCCTGGTTAGGGAAGCTTGTGTCAGCGTTCTGGTGCATGGAATTGGATTTCTTCTCTCTGGAGTGCAATGGAGTGTCCAGTAATGAGTTTTGCGATGGGTCTATGTGTTAGGTGTGACTTTGGACAGCCTGTATGTTGACACTCAGGTCTATGTTCCTGCGTTGCTAAAGAATTTGCGTGGTATGTCTTGTACTGGAGCTTATTGGCTCTTGGGTGGTGGTTGGTTTTGGTGTAGGTATGGAGGCTTTTGGATGGTCTCTTATTCCTTAATGTTCCGTGTAGTCAGGAGTTTTCTGGTTTTCTCAGGTTTTGGGCTTAAGTCTCCTGCCTCTGGATTTCAGTTTTATTCTTCCAATAGTCTCAAGACTTCTCCAACTATACAGCACTGATAATAAAACTTCTAGGTTAATGGTGAAAAGATTCTCCACCGTGAGAGACAACCAGAGAGGTTCACAGAGTTACATGAAGAATAGGAGAGGGAGGAAGGAGATAGAGGTGAGCAGGAGGAGAAAAAGGGGACTCAAGAGGAGAGAAACAGATCTACGCGGTTATCTGTTCCCAAGGTGTTCTCCGTAGCCCAGACACCCACAAAGATTCACAGAGTTGGGTTGGGAAGAGAAGGAGAAAGGAGGAAATAGAGGTGTTCTGAGGTAGAAAACAGAGAGTCAAAAGTGGGAGAGTAATCACCACACTCCTGAATAGAAATGGGAACTGAATATTGGATTCTTAAATGTCGGGATTTACTTTGATACAGAGTTTCAGTTCTCTTAGCATAAATTTATACAAAATATAATTATTTAAATGTCTTTCACATCCATGGGTGGTTCCCTTTGTTTATTTAAAACTTCCATCATGGCTTCATATTTTTTTTTCACATTTATGTGGCAACCACCACTTAAATTTATCAAATATTGTTTTCTTCCTGTTTTTCTAATGCATTAACCTCTACTTTTATTAATTAAAATTTTCTTTCAATGCTAATTGTTCTTTTATAGTTTCTTCTATTATTGAGTCATATTTTGCTGTATTTTTCAACTGAAATGTTTTGTTTCCTCTTTGATCTAAAAGTTCTTTACAGGAGCATCTGAAATATAGCACATTATATGAAACTAGCTTTAATTGGCTAAGATATCATAAATTGGCATGTGCATTCAGTTGCTAAGTCATGTCTGACTCTTTGCAACCCCATGGATTGTAGCACAGGCTCTTCTGTCCATGGGATTTCTGAGGCAAGAATACGGGAGTGGGTTGCCATTTCCTCCTCCAGGGACTCTTCCCCACCCAAGGGATGGAACTTATGTCTCCTTTGTCTCCTGCATTGCAGGCAGATTCTTGACCTGCTGAGCCACCTCTGTTCAGTCAGTTCAGTTGCTCATTCAGGTCTGACTCTTTGTGAACCCATGGACTGCACTACACCAGGCTTCCCTGTCCATCACCAACTCCTGGAGCATGCTCAAACTCACGTCCATGGAGTCGGTGATGACATCCAACCATCTCATCCTCTGTCATCCCCTTCTATTTCTGCCTTCAATCTTTCCCAACATCAGAGTCTTTTCCAATGAGTCAGTTCTTCGCATCAGGTAGCCAAAATATTGGAGTTTCAGCTTCCATATCATTCCTTCTAATGAATATTCAGGGCTGATTTCCTTTAGGATTGGCTAGTTTGATCTCCTTGTAGTCCAAAGGACTCATGAGTCTTTTCCACCACCATAGTTCAAAAGCATCAATTCTTTGGTGCTCAGCTTTCTTTATGGTCCAACTTTCACATGCATACATGACTACTGGAAAAACCATAACTTTGACTAGATAGATATTTGTCAGCAAAGATCTCTATGCTTTTTAATATGCTGTCTAGGTTGGTCATAGCTTTCAATCTAAGGAGCAAGAGTCTTTTAATTTCATGGCTGCAGTCACCATCTGCAGTGATTTTGGAGCTCAAGAAATAAAGTCTGTCACTGCATTGTTTCCCCATCTATTTGCCATAAAAAGATGAGACCAGATTCCCTAATTTCCACTTTTTAAATGAGTCTTTTCTTTATGGTACTGTGTACAGCCTTTTTTCAATGACATAGAAAAGCTGGAAAATAGACTCATTAATTTATTCAAGAAGTATTTATCTGAGTGCCTATTATATGCCAGGGGTGGTTCTCAGCACTGAGGACTCAGCAGTGGAAAAGGCAGTTCAGGCACCCATGGAGTATGTAATCTAGTTGGGGGTAGAAGACAGGCAATGAATAAGAATAAATAGAATATGATACACGTTTAAGTGTGGTAAGTGCTGGGGGAAACACAAAACATGACAGGGGTGAAGGTGCGAGCGCGTTTCTGTCAGGAGGGGTTACAATTCAGATAGAGTGGCCAGGGAAGACGTAGTGAAGAAAAGTGGCATCTGAATCCATACCTGCAGGGGATGAGGAGTAAACTTTATGGATTTCCTGGGAAGCACTCCAGGCAGAGGGAAGAAGAAATACAAGCACATCTGGTAATGATGAAGAATTACGAGGAGGCTGCCCTGAATGGAACTGAAGAAACAGGATTGGGGGTATGGGGAGAGGCAGGTCCACGACACCTTAGTCTGCAAATTCAAAATCTAAAAGTCTTTGAGGAAAAAAGTAGGGTTTTCATTTTTTCCCTTTGTTTTTTAGTTTTCAGCAAACTCGGCAGAAAAAAATGGGTCTAAAGCCATATATATATTTTTTGTTCTTTATTCCACTTAATGTGAACATATAAGTTTTACTGTGGAAATACATGCAGGTAACTGGATAAGTGTGGTACTGGGGATTTATGAAGGGACTCTTCTTTTTATTTCTATTTTCTTTTCAAAATAGGAAACAAGTCCATTAGCCAAGAGTATTAGTGGACAGGAAAGCACTGGAGGGGAGAAGAAGGGAGAAGAATGAAGTAACTCAGGAGCCTGGGAAAATGAAACAACCAGGGAAGCCGAATATGATGGCTTGGCAGATTGATGCTCCACTTTAGTGTAACAACCATGGTTTCACAGTGAGACAGTCAGCCTGGTATGTGTTTCTCCCCAGGCGCATTCAGCTGGCCAAGTGCAGTCACAATAGTGCAAAGCGTCAGATTTAATCAGGGTCATGGTTGAGCCAAGTGAATCAAGAGCAGCAGAGAAGTCCAGTGTGCACACCAAGGAAAAAGCATGACTGATCACATTTCAGCTGGGTAAGGAGGGGACTGAGGAGAGAGTTAGCTGCCAGATCAAATGCTTTTTAAAAAATAGTTATATAAAATTTAGGTTATATATATTTCTATTACACGTACATATCTTAGCTGCCATAATTTAAAAACTGAGTCCATATCACATTTGTTTTGTAAACTATATCACACCTATTCAATTTTTAATAGAGTCTATTTGTTTTCAGTCTTCTGGTACTTGCCATTTTATACTTTGTGCTTAATTCAGTGAGATTCCAAACAGAAGTCACTGCCTATTGAAAAGCAAATATTTGAAAAACACGTATTTCTGATGGATATGGAACTTACCAATCACAACTGGGTCTCCAGAGCTTAACACAGTACTTGGCACATAGTAGGCAACTGTATTTGTTGATTTAAAAGAAAAATGTATTCATATGCTTGTTCAGAGAGGATTTTGAGGGGTGGGCTGGGAGTAGAGATAGCAAGAAGGCCTCTGAACTCTAGGAGGAGGAGATACCACTGAGAAGAGATGTGACAATACAAGAAAATAAACCAGGGCATACCTGACTCACTTAATTCTGTTCTGGAACTCATTAATCTGCTTTCAGCATTCAACTGGAACTGTCTTGGGGTAGGAAAATCATGGAAAATAGAGCACAGTTCCTGGCATATACTAAACCTAACAAGGGCTCCATCCCTTTATTTTTATTCCATAGGGAGAGCTAGAGAGCAGGGACTAAAACACACTGAAATCCTTTGATTCTATTTTGGCTAAAATGCATCAACTAACTTTTATTGTGCTTACACGCACAATGTTGAAGCAGGGTGGTAAGAACAAAAGAAACCAATAACTACTACATAGGTAATGTTAATACATAAGGAGTTTACAATATAAAGTTCAGAAGTCAATAAATACTGAGCTAAGGTGTAAGATCATGACACAAAAGGAAAAAATCAATGTGGAGTTTCCAATCAGCATTAATCATTCATTCATTCATTCAAACATTTATTGAGCATCTACTGTGAATCAGGTACTGAAAATGGAAATATGTATGTCTTCATTTACTGCTACATACTCATCTTAGAAGTGAAGAAACTGAAACTTCAATGGATAAATTATTTGTCCAAGGCCATAAAGCTACTAAATGATGAAGCTGGAGGCCCAGTACAAGACTGTCCAGTGACTTTTATTTTATTGGAAATTGATGCTTTTCATATGCTTGTCAGATTCATTATTATGGAACTGGTGCATTTTCCTTTAGATAACGTTATGAAGAATAAAATATAAACAGAGCCAATATTTCAAAGTCCATGTCAATTACATTTAAGATGTCAATATACTCTGTTTCAAAGAAATTTATAAATTATGAGTCTTACCTGGTGATTTGTCAAAGAATAAAAGTGCAGCAATCCAAATTCCAAACATCTGAGTTGGTTTTTTAAAAATCATGTAAAATCTTGAAATTTTTTGCCTGCAAAGTCACTGCACTATAAAAATATCAAGCAGTTTTCTTCAAAATGGCATCAATTAGTATTTAAGTTCTAGGTCCAGAAGAGCATGGGACTCATACTACCTTTAATTCTTCTGCCTTGCAAAGTAAATATGTTATAGTCTGGATTTCTAACTTCACGTTAAGAGATATAATTAGCAGGGTGTGCCTTGTGTTATGTGATGGGTAATTAAAACTTCTGAGGTGTTGCTGTTTCATCATTAGCAATATTTTGGTTAGGCATACACTGAGTCATTCTTGAAAGTTATTTGAGTATTTTGGGATGGTATTATAGTTAAGAAACATTAAAAAAAGCAAAAATTTTCCAAACTAGGATTATACATGTTATGTATTTTTCCCTAACACATTTCTTTAATTTTTGTTTAAGTTTTTATTAATTTTTAAATTTCAGTTGTTAATTTACAATGTTATGTTAGTTTCTGCTGTGCAGCAAAGTGAATTGGTTACACAAACACTTACATTCACTCTTTTTTAGATTCTTTTCCCATGCAGGTCATTACAGAGTATCGAGAAGTGGTCCCTATGTAACACAGTAGGTTCTCATGAGTTATATATTTTATATGTAGCAGTGTATTTATGTTAGTCTCAATCTTGCAACTTGTCCCTCACCCCCAATTTTCCTCCCTGGCAACCATAAATTTGTTTTCTACATCTGTGACTCTATTTCTGCTTTATAAATAAGTTAATTTGTATCAATTCTTTTAGATTCCACATATAAGTAATTTCACATAATTTGTGTCTTTCTTTGTGTGACTTACTCAGGATGACAATCAGGTCCATTCATGTTGCTGTAAATGGCATTATTTCATTCTTTTTTATGCCAGAGAAAAACATAATTCGAAAAGATACATGCACTCCAGTGTTCACTGAAGCACTATTTACAATAGCCAGGACATGGAAGCAACTAAAATGTCCACTGATGGATGAATAGATAAAGAAAGGGAACAATGGAATATTATCTAACACATTTCTGAGTGAAAACATCCACTTAATACAAGCCCCTGCCAGAATATGCTATGAATTAAACAATGAACATGGCTTATTTGGCTGTCTTACCTGTGTGGCAATATAGCATAGAATTTACCTGGTGATTGGAGCCTGATCACCTGGGTTCAAATTCTGGCTGTGCCACTTACTAGCAATGACCTTGGGCTAGTAAGCTCACTGTGCTTTCCTCTGCCTGTAAAAAACCAGGGATAATCCTGGTTCCTAATATGGTCATTTAGATGACTGAATTACTTACTATACGAATAGTACCTAATATATAGTAAGTACTATATTGTGTAAATTTTATTATTGTCATTTTCAAGTATGTTAATTGTTATAAGAGCAAGTGTATGTTCACATATAGCTAAGTATACCCTTGTACACTATCATTGTACACAGGATTCATAATACACCTGAATGTAATACAAATTTGTCTTTTTGGCTACTTCATTAAGTGATGAGCAGTTCAACTCACAGATATCCCTTGGTCAGTTTCTCAATTTTTAAATGTTCATGGAAGATGGCTGAAAGTATTTCTTAGTGTTTCTTAATTTTTCACTCTTACCCTAATAGCATTAAAATTTTAAATTATTTATGAAGCATTCAGCCTTTTTATATAAAACTTGTAACACTGTGCAAGAATCAGACAAAGGAGAGATTTTGAATAAGACTAGTTACAAGTCTCGGGTGCTTTTTTGGTTGCAATATTTCCTGGAACTCAGAGTAGCCAGTTCACCCTGGCGTGCAGACACGTAGTGAATAGAGCACCACCCAGCAGCACCAAGCTCAGTGCCTGGCACATTGAGTCCAGTAACTACACCACAAAAAAGGTGTGCTCTAAAAGTTTCACCAGTTATAACTGGACATTGTTCCCAAGTGGCATTTCAAGATTCAGTGTTTTCAGTCACACATGTGGGATCAGCATGAATGACATAATCAATACCTCTCAGAAGACTGTATCTTATTCATGTCTACATGAACAGGTGATTAATATTGTTTTTCAGTCACTAAGTTGTGTCCAACTCTTTGCGACCCCATGGACTGCAGCACATCAGGCTTCCCTGTCCTTCGCTATCTCCCCCATAGTTTGCTCAAACTCATGTCCATTGAGTCAGTGATGCCATCCAACCATCTCATCCTCAATCAGCTCCTTCTCTTCCTACCTTCAATCTTTCCCAGCATCAGGGGCTTTTCCAATGTGTCAGCTCTTCACATCAGGTGGCCAAGAAAGTATTCGAGCTTCAGCTTTAGCTTCAGTCCTTCCAATGAACATTCAGGGTTGATTTCCTTGAGGATTGACTAGTTTGATCTCCTTGCTGTCCAAGGGACTCTCAAGAGTCTTCTCCAGCACCACAGTGCTGGAGGTGGTTAATAAACATGTTTAAATGAAAAAAAAATCTCTCTTCGATGTTTTCACAGAACTTTTCAAAGAAACTGCTATAGCATTTAGCATATCACAGACTTATTAGGCAATTACCTATTAGTCTCCTTCCCCAGACTAAATCATTCTGGGACAAGGGCAGGTTTTTGTTTATCTTTGGGCTCCAGCATCTAGCAATAATTCTATCATAGTACACATATGGTCAACCTTTGTTGAGAAAAACATGTAGTCTTAGATTTCAGTGATCTCATATCATTCAAGGAAATTCTTCCTCTAGAGAGATTATCATGATGAGAGTTAAAGACTCATTATACTTTAACAATTATGTTTAACGAGGTTCAGATCCTGGTGAATCCTATTTGCTCACTGGAATTGTGGCAGTTCTGCCTGAAAAATGTCACATAGAAGAATTAACAATAGTTTTAAAAGCTCATCACAAAATCAGATCTGTGCTTATATATGACAGCACACTAAAATGGAGGAAAAACAGCGTATCGGTTGAATTCTTGACTCAAGAGTAGAAAATAATTCAATTAATTCTGTCCCTGGCATGATAAAGTATTTTGAAAATTTAGTAAGGCAGAGAACCTTTCAGTGTATCATGATGAATATTTCAGTATTAATGTCAGAACCCTGAATAACATGGCTATAATTTCTTAAATAACTTTTTAGGCTATTTCTTAATGCACAGCTCTTTGAATTATCCAAGATTTCAGGGAGGCTGGCATCATGGCTATTTTGGGGAAGCAAAGAAAGAGTGAAATACAAACACATGTGCCTGAGTAATCTTAGCACTCATTCATTCATTCATTCGCCAAATATCTGAGTGGCTGCTATGTGCCAGGAACTCTTCTGGTTTCCAGTGACACACCAATGAAAAAAGACCCTGCCCTCTTGAATATTATAGTGAGGAAAGTGAAAGTGCAAGTCACTCAGTTGTCCAACTCTGCGACGGCATGGACTATAGCCTGCCAGGCTCCTCTGTCCATGGGATTCTCCAGGCAAGAATACTGGAGTGGGTTGCCATGCCCTCCTATGGGGGATCTTCCTAACTCAGGAATCGAACCCAGGTATCCCGCACTGCAGGAGGATTCTTTACCAGGGGCAGCCAAGAAACACAGTAAACCAGTAAATTCTAAAGTTTGTGAAAAGGTGGCTTAAACTATGGAGAAATAAAGCAGAGTAAAGGAGACTGGGGCATCTGGGAGTTGATTGGCAGAGGAGATTGCTATTAATTTTGGTGGTCCAGGGAGGCTTCACTGAAAAGGTGACATATGAGCAAAAGAGAGTGACTAAGTAACACTTCAGGAAAAAGGACAGGTAAGCTGAGGTCAAAAGGCAAGAATCTGCCTCATATTTTTGAGGAAAAGCAGAAAGGCCAGAGTGTCAGGGGCAGAGGGAGAAGGAGGGGATAATAGAGGACAAGGTCAGAGAGGTGTCTGGAGAGGCCAGAGTGGGTAAGGCCTTGTTGGTCATTGTAGCAACTTCAGCTTTTCCTCTCAGAGAAAAGAAAGCCAGTGGCAGCCTCTAAATAGAGAAGGAATCCGATTTGACTTTGGTTATAACAGGGTCTTTCTGGCTGCTCTGTTGCCAACAGACTGTAGGAGAGGGAAGGAAGGAGCCAGATGACCAGCTGGGAGCTACTGCAGTGATCCAGGTGAAGATGATGGTGGTTTGGATAGGAAGGTACCAAGAGAGGTGGGAAGAAGTGGATGTGCTCAGGATGTAGTTTGAAGAAAAGAGTCAAGATTTCCTTTTGTTGTTGTCTCTGTTCTTTGATTTAGCGCTTAAGGGATGTAATGCTTGAGGTGCATACCCAGTGCATCTTGCAGAGGTAGAAAAATTTACTTTTTTTCCCTCCGATTTATTCTTGAATAATGTATTTTCTCTCATAATTATTGCCAGGATATTCCTTACAATGTTTGACAGGACAAAAATATTTTAATGCATTGTTTACTTTGATTGGTTTAAGGGATGTAATTTTCTCTGCAAATTTTGGAAAATATGTTTCTAAAACAGATTATACTTCTAAAGTTCTTTCTTTTTGTTGGTAAGGCTTTATTTGTATGCACATTTTGTAGTAATACACCACTTGTATGCAGACATAAAACAAGAACCTCATGTGGAAGTATAACTTCTACTGAGGAAATATTGTTGTAAACTATTACTTTGTGAACTATAGACTATAATTAGATAGTCATCACATAGTTGTTAAATTATATACAATAAAAATGCACATAACATCAACACAATTCATTATAATTACAAGTTACTCTAGAAGGCTACTTGAAGTTTCCAAGTAGCACACTTCTCATAATAGTAATTTGCCATACTAGAATGTGGCATATTAAAATTACACTTTGGAAAGTTAAAATCTTTCACATTCAGCAAAGTCAGAATAATATAATAAAGAAAAATGTCACCATCGAAGAGGCAATTGTAAAGAAAGGAGAGGTTGGGAGGATTTATACCTGCATTAAGAATTGGCAAATCATGTATGGGATTTCAATATAGTTTGAAAAGGCTTCACTTCTAGAATCAGGGGAAGAAATGGTGATGTGGAGCCTGGACTTTAGAATTGGATCTGGATTCA